CTGAAGCTTTAGAAACATGACTGTTCCAAAAGTGTTGATACAAGGTGTATAATTCTTAATTAACAAAATATTTATGGTGCTTATAATTTCCATTTATATGCTGATAATCTTTGCAAACCAGTTAAAATCTTGTAAGATTGCAGTAGTCTAAATACTTTTAAGGAAATTTTTATACCTACGTGTATGGTTTTTGTTTCCCAAATATACCACTTATCATTTTTTTCTGATAAATTTCATTCTGTTACTTATTTCTCTAACCTCTTAAGATCATTTTGAACATTATTTCTAACTCTTAGGGTATTAAATATGGGCATCTGCAATACATTAAAATGGAAGGCACAATTTTAACAGGTTAGCATGAATTCAGCAATAATAAATCTGCCAAATTAACCTCATTTTTATTTCAGTAGCTTTGTTAGTAAATTCTGGGAAATTTAGAAATAATATACCTTGATTTCAGCAAAGCATATGGTGAAGTACTGCGTGATAACCTGATCTGAAGCAACTGAACACAAACAATTAAAACTTCACCTCTTAAATGGATATGATGTTTGTGACATTAAAAAAAAGATGCTGTGTCAATCATTCTTGTTCCCACCACCATTTTGATGTGGCTGATTTCCACCCTACCCACTCCCTGGCAGATACCTCAGTTTTAAATACACCATAGTATAACATCTGCAAATGTATTCTGTTCATCCCTTTATCTAATAATTAATAATAATTTGACAAATAGAGGACTGAGGATTTTTCTCTTTGCAGCACTCCAAATCTTTCCTGTTTGACAGAGAATTTTCAATGAGCATTCAAAATATAGTTTTGGAGTCAGTTGTGAAAACTGCAATCCAGCCTACACTTAGCTTGCTAAATCAGGATGTCATGCAATATATCCCTATATCAGGGGTGGGATTCTACCAGTTTGCACCTATTTTCTAGAACCAGTTGTTAACATTCTAAGCAGTTCGGAGAACCGGTTGTTAGAATAAATTACTGGCCTAATCTGTAAGGAAGGCAGGAAGGAAACATTCTGGTGTTGCTTACAGAAACTGCCTCTCTGTTAACCCTTACTACATTCTTGGCAGGACTAGATTTCCTGTCTCAAGACTGTCTCTAAAGTTTTTTCCCCTCCTTTGCTTGTACTTTGCTTGTGTGGAGTGACCATTCAAAGTTACAATGGCACTGAAAAAAGTGACTTATGACCATTTTTCACACTTATGACTGTTGCAGCATCCCCACAATCATGAGAGGCCAGGTGAGGAGATGCATGCCTCAATCTGAGTGATATTGAGTTGGCCACACACCCAGCCAATAACATGACCACCAAGCCATGTCCACCCAGTCACATGACCACCAAGCCACGCCCACCACCTACGCCACAGCCACAGAACCGGTTGTTAAAAAATTTGAATCCCACCCCTGCACTATATGTTTTGATGAAATAAAGCTATGTCATTTCTACATGACTACAATCTACTTAGAAAGATACCAGAACAAAAAAAAAATAAGGTTAATTTGGCAGATTTGCTGTTGACAAATCCATGCTAACTTCTTAAAATTGATGTTTATAGAATGGCTTCTTTATGGTCAGCTCTGGAATCTTTCAGGTATCAATGTCATATTAACTGGAGAGCCTCTTTTTTTCTCTTTTTGAAGACAGCAGCAATATTTGCCCTGTTCTCAGAGATAATATGAAATAATACAGAAATAATAATAGAGATGTAGTCGAACTTTTAACTAATTCCCATGGAAGGATGCACTTCGGTATATATTTAAATTCATGATAAATATTCAACCTTGCCCTTCATCTTCTCATCATTGTTGCCTGGTAGAACATACTGAATAGGATTCAAGGAGCTTTCTCTTCTCTTTGATACTTTCATATCATGAGTGAACAAACACATATTTTAGACTTCAGGGAAGCAAACTCTAATAAATAGATCAGCTGGATTCCATTTCAGAAATGGACATGGAGGAATGGGGGAAAAAAAAAGAGGAACACATGAAAAAGAAAGCAGAATGCAAAAAGCGCGGGGGGGGGAGCAGAAAGCGAGTGTGGGAGTCCTTTTTTTCAAAAGATTTTTATTTTGCCTTTTTTCCCATACAACTCAAGAAGGCAATGAAATATCACAATGAAATTTCACACAATGTGCCTAAGTCACTACATATTTCATAACAGTTTAATGAGTAAAAACATAACTGAGTTTCTACACTGTTAAAAACAATATATGATTTGCAAAACACAACGGATGGGTAGGCACAACATTCCATGCCATAGAACACCTAGCAAGCCATGTTTAGCTATGTAAAAGCCTAAGAATTTCAACTTCTGAAAAGCATTAGCCCATGTAGGCTGCCCTATTGGTCTCAAGGTAAATGTAAAACTGGAAGGCATTAAATCATTTCCCCTTGATATTTTAATTATGGGTGGGATTCTTCTGGGCTATCCTGCTGTTTGAAAGTCAGCATACACAGAGATGGTCCAATAAGCATGGAAAATCTAAAGAAAAGCTTTGGATAAAGATCATTCAGCAAAATCTCAGAACATTTTATCAAGGATTATCAAAAAGGTTAGATTTTCTTACTGAAGTGGAAAGTTAGAAACAGAGTTTAAAAGAAATGGAGGACATGAAGGTACACCATCCATGGTGGTAAAATCTGCTTAACCAGGGCTTTAATTATTGCATAACTGGAAAGCGTTAGATTGGTGTTTTTCCTAGCTCAGCTAAAGAGAAGGGCTTTTCCGCAGTCACTTGGATATATTATAGTTATTTTCTAGAGCAGTTAAAAATTTCTAATTTGACTCAGCTTTTTAAAGGCTTATGTTGCCTCAATCTGCAGTTGTTGCAAACCATGCTAAACCAAGATTATTTAATCAGCATTTACTGAATATTATGCAAAGATCTAACTGCTTAGAGAAAGCTCTAATGCTGGGAAATGTGGAAGGAAAGAGGATGACCAGGAGCAAAGTTGATGAACTCAGTAACAGCAAAGTTGATGGACTCAGTGACAGTGGCCACCAGTGCACTATTAGATAACCTGAAAGACCAGGTTAGGGATAGATTGACACAGAGGAAATCTATGTGGTCACTAAAAATCAACAAGAACTTGATGGCATTCAATTACAATCATTTATTGAATAAACTGCAGCTTGCTGGATTTACACAAAAACATTGCTTATAAATTATCAGGGCTGCATTCATACAGAGGTACAGAATTAAAATATCTGAACCCAGTCTTTAGGTAGATTTTACAGACTTACTACCTCTATTGCCAAGAATGTTTTTATTATGTATTTTAATTTTCTAATTTCAATATGCACTGCCAAGATATATGGTAACCAACATGCACACACAAAATATGCAAGTAGTTCGAAGAATATAGACTGAAAGCTGTGTGTAAACAGCAGATCTGAATGTTTATCCATCATTTAACATTTTCTACATTTGCAAAACACTGAATCATAAAACTAAATCATGATCTGGCTTTTCATAAAATCAACCCCTTCCCTAATTCTTGGGACTAAATTGAGACACCCATGTTATTACTTGTTACTTTCCACTGCCTTTCTGCAATGTTCAGCTCTACTGTACAACCCATTCATTTCCTAGATTGTATCTAAGTTCCAACGAGGCTAATAAGTTGACTAGTTTTTTTTCAACTCGGACAAGGTTAGTTTGCAGTACTGCTGTAACCACTTACCACTGGTAGCTACTCTGAGAAGTGGAAAGTAATCTTAAAATAAGACAATATTGTACAGATGTAATTCGCTCTTACTCTTGCTAAGAAAACAACACAACATTGTTACATCAAGCACTTGACTCTTGATCTAATCAAGTATCAGGTTTGACTCAAGGGAGAAATTACCTTTTTGCAAAAATGCTAGGCTAAAATACAAAGTACAAATGCAGCTCTTAGGAATGAGGCCTGTTGCTGCATTGTCCTATTTGTAAGTTTTGCAGAAACAACCGACTGCTCATTGGTGGAAAGAGGATGCTCATAGAAACAAAGTTTAGTTCCATTAAGGATTTTATGACACCCCTTTTGGGCTACTCCGGCAAAGCAGCTCTGGGATAGCAGCATTATCCCAGGGAAGTGTAATAGTGTCCATCTGGTTTAAGGAAGAGGGAAATTCTCCCATTTCCTTTCTGAAAAAAGCTATTTACACTAGTCAATTCCAATCACCCTGGAATCTATGAACCCAGGTAAGAAAAACCATTCCAACTTTATTTAGCTAACTAGAGGGAAAGGGGAAGCATTTAGGTTGGGTAAATTTGTCATTGCTGCAGTTCTTCAATGGAACGATTTTCTTGGCTTCTTAATGCATTTGACTTCTTTGCTCCGTTGTTTTTAACGAAGTATATTCAACCAATTGCATGCTATATTCTCATCACCTCTGCTCATTCCCAGTTATAAACTACACTGATTTCTTTTCAACAATATTAGTATTACTAGAAATAGTGGGTATGCTGGAAGGAAATTTGGTGCATATAGTGCTCAATTAATTGCGAATCACTCTTTCTGGACTAAAATAATCCTTTCCCTTTAAAGACAAAAGGGTGAAGTTCGGGGGGGGGGGGGAATAATTTTAAGTTCTCACTGTTGCGCCTACGCCATCCTTTGCCTTAATTTTTTTCCCTCTCCTTCCTTGTGCAAGGTTTTACTTCGTAGCTTTATAAATGTGTGCTTTTAAAATATGACTTCATCGTAAGTAAAGGATGGACGGATTTGTTGATTATTATTTTTTTTAACACCCCGTCCTTTCGCACGTTTATTTGCAAGATGCTGCTGTGATTTCATGGAGTTTTACACCCGAGGAGGTATGTTTCGGAATTGTAACTCCAACCTGCTAATCCAGCCTGAGGCACTCACTGTCCTCAAACACAAAAATGGTGGGTCTATAAATACGATTTATTCCCAAACGGTCTATTCTGGAGTTTTGGACTACGATTCCCAGCATGCCGTCCTCCATGACAGCTTCTTCTGATTGGCCGCTCGGTGTTCTAGTTGGAACTCGGCATGTGGCTGCTGCTGTGCTGAGAGGAAGGCAATATTTTTGCAGGCTTTATATGTATGTATATATGAGAAAAGGTAAGTGAAGTCTTCTGCTGCTGCTCTCTTTAGAATGGGATGTTTTCCGTCCTTTTAATTCTTCCCCCCATTTCTTTGTTTCTGATCTAGTTAATTGTGAGCATTGCCCTGAAGCAGCTGCTTTCAAAAGGCATGTTTTATATTGGTGTGTGTTTAGGGAAATTTAACCAATCCGAAACTGGAAAAGCAAGACTTAGTGATGCACTGAGGATGATCCCAAAGGGATAAAGAAATATATGCAGCCTGAGAGCTGTGAAAACACCAGTAGTGATTTTTCCTCCATGAACGTAAATGCTTGCTACAGTATTTTTTTTTTCTTGGAGGAAATCTTTATTAACAAGCAAAAAAGTGCAGTCTTAATGTGGGGAAAATGTATTTGCATTATCATTTTTATTAGCAGGTACCCTTGAGAGTACTGGGGTCTTTTAAAGTCATTGCAAAGAGAAAAATGTGAGGTGTTTGGTTTGTTTATTTCAGTCCTGTTTTGCATTCCAGTTAAAATACTGCTTCCCCCCCCTCTTAAGTTTGTCCAGAATGGATTAGGAAGTTGTTTTTCTTCTTTCAAAAGCAGATTCTGACATTTTGAAGGGTATGCAAAGCTTTGCATCTTTTAGTGGGTAAATAAGACTGCAAATTACGTATGATATAATTTCTAAACAGAAAAACTTTAAGCTATGATTTTAAAATGACAGGAAAATTGTTTGTGCTTTGATTTCATTTCAACCATTACAACATTGCCAAGGATGGTCTGAGAAACAAAATTGTTTGGACACTGCAGGTGGAGAGCTACCCATAAAATTCTTCATCTCTCACACATCTGTATTTTTCAAATTAAGTAGGCTAAGGTTCAGGTGGGCAGCATCAAACATGGCAGTTGACCTCAAATTTTCTCCAAGTTAGTTTTTCTTTTCTTTACACATCTTTTCTTGCTTTTATGAATGGTACCTTCCTGAACCAGAGTAACGATAAATAATTGAATCAAAGGATAACCATCTCTAAGCAGTTTACAAGTATTTTGTCAGCAAAAACCCTGAGCAATCAGGCTAGTTTTAAAAATTGAGCAACCTCTGAATGAATAAACGGAGGCTGTACGAGGAAAAATTGCATTCTCTTTATATGCCAAAGTGTAACGTACATGCAAGCACATGCAGCCAACCTTCAAGATGCTATTTTGTATTGCAGATACTTTCTTTGTGGGAGGATAGGGGTGAAGATTGAGGATTACATTACTGACAGTTGTGTCTACACAATGTGAATTTTTACAAGCAAGATTTGCAAGATGTCTTGGTGCTTCATCCTTAAAGTCTGTTTTCAGTACAAGCTTCAACTTTGAAATGTGATGAGGATGAGGCATTTCTTAAATATGTCTTTTGTCACAATGTAAAAATATAACGTCTGTCTAGTCAGGTTCTAATGACCTCATAGACATAGTTGTGTAGTTTTCTTGGGAATATGAAACCTGTTTGCATTGCTTTCTACCAGAACATTGTTTTGATTTTCCACTCAAACGTAAAGCCCATTTAAGCCTCCCATCTAAGGGCTAACCATGCATTCCTGATTTCCTGGTGGTCTCCCATCCAGTGCTTATTATGTTCAACCTTGCTTAGCTTTTTGAAATAAGTCAAAATCAGCTAAGTGCTGCCACTATTGAAGTACAGTGTAAGCAGAATCCAGTTTATCAGAAAGTAAAAAACGCTTTCAGACAATTCTGAGTCCTGATACTTTTAACATTCAGCTTTATTTACAATTTCCCCATTTTTTTCATTATTCTTGTACCCATATAGTGGCTGAGGCAGAAAAGTTATGAATCTGGAAATTACTTATTCAGATGTCTGTTGTTCTATCCATACTGCTCTCAGGAAACTGCCTAGCAAATCACTTTCCCCTGGACATAAGCTTTCTGTGGAATTTGAGAAGCAATCATCTCTTATCTCTCTTTGCAGTCCCAGGGAATTGGGTAGCCCAAAGACTACCAGGTGGGGTGAGCAGCACTTTTTCCTTGGCCACATACTGGGACTTCATTAGAAAGAGATTTTATTTTTTACATTGGAGCAAAGGACAATTTGATTCCCCACCCCCACCATTCCCCAAATAGCTGGTCAGGTTTTTTAAACTACTTTTCTGCACTGTAAAAGTAGACCATGATAGGGGAAATGCAAGGTGCTTGCTAACTGTTGCTTTTAGCATTCCTCCATTGGCCAGAATTCCCATGGATTCTTCCATGGAAAGAATCATTTCCCAATTCAAGAAGAGACTCAGAAAAGTTACTGAGTGCTGCACAAGCAGCTTTACCCAGTGTTTCAGTTTTGGAAAGTGGAGGTGCACACAACATCAAACTGGGGGCTACATACAGGAGGTTTCAGCTTTCCCAATCTCAAATACATAACATGATGGTTACTTATCCTTGAAGTAATTGTAAAAAAAAAAATTCAGGTAAAGTACTTTGAACATTCAAAACTACTATAGAAACCAAAGTAGTAAGAAAGAATAATACAGAATTTAAGCAAAGACAATTGTGTGTTTTGTCTTACAGCTTTGTTATTGAGTCGATTAAATAGTTCTTTAAGTTGTCTTTTAAAAGTTGAGTGTTATTTGTTTTTAATTATGTTTTCAAGTACTGCTTAGGAAACCCTTTAAGAGAAAAAATTATTGCTGTTACCATTGTAAATTCTAAATCAGCCTTCTTTCCACAGATGCTGTCCAGATATATTATACTTCAGCTTCTTTAATTTTTAACTATTCTAACCTCTTTTAGTGAGTGGACTCTTGATTCCAGATACTTAGTGCCTTTAAAATGGAGTTTTCAGCATGTGCCTACATTTTTTTTCCTTTCATCTCTCCTTCCATTTCTGGTGTTCAAGCATTACATGCACCTTTTAATGCAGTCAAATTTTCCTCTCTTGCCTCTGCCCCCTCCCTTCCGGTACATGAAAGAGATATCAGTAAGTTAGGGGGACTTCCAGGTTTGCAGAATTCTATTTCAAAATTGGAGAGAGAGAAAAAATGAACATGGGGAAAAAGAATATAGGGCTTCAGATCATAAGTTGCCTTATGTGGAGTAAGAGCATTACAGGCATGGATTCCGATCACAGGGGACAGTTTGCTGGGCCTTTTTGGTTCCCTGAAGTCCCATATTTCACCAGCCATGATGATGGAGTTTTGTAGAAGGCGGGAACTTCCATGCACAACACAGTTTGCCATCACAGCAGATGGAAGCTAGAATCTTGACTGGTGATAAGTATTCAACAACACTGTTGATTGTTTGGGCAAGCAGCTGTTGTTCTTTCTTAAAAAAAACTAAAGCCATATTTGGAAAACTTAAGGATCACAGAAAACCAAATTAGAATGCAACCTTATAGAACTGGGTACACATGATGGAACAGTTAATGTGGCTCTTGACAAATTTCTTGCTTGCTTGCACTTAAAGTGCAGATAATTAGTGTCTAAGAAAATGAATAATGCTTTTTCCTTCGACTTCTGTATGTACAGCTGCAGAAGTATGTAGTCAATATCTCCAGTTCATGTCCTTCCCATTCCACACATAAGGTATATGGCAACAGTGAAGACAAGATGGAAAAATTATAAGTAGTCCTCACTATTGACCGCAATTGGGACTAAGAATTCCACCACTGAGCGATGCAGTCATAAAGTGAAACATCACATGAGTCCACCAAATTTTTGACGTCAGTTCCGATACAGTCATTAAGAGAATCACTGTGGGTCATTAAGCGCAATATCTATGACTTGCAACTTCCAGCCAGCTTTCCTATTGACTTCTCAGAAGCTGGCTGTGACGGTAATAAATAGTGATCATATGACTGCATGATGTTGCCAAACATCTGAATTGTGACATCAGGGACACTATAAGATTTACAAGTTTGAGGACTGGTCATAAATCTTTTTCAGAGCTGTTTTAATTTCGAATGGTCCCTGAATGAGCAGTCAGCAATTGAAGATTACTTGTAAATAATAAATGGAAAACTTCTATGGGAGCAAGCATATCTTAAGTTTTGGAGTTCTCTCCCTTCAAAAACCCTATTTTTATGTATTTATTAATTTTTGTTAATTCTTTGCCTTTATTTTCTGTCAACTTGCATCATGCATACTTGATGTTTTTGTGTCCTGTTTTCTCCACAACAACCCTATGAGACGGGTTGGATAGAGAGAGTAACTGGCCCAAAGTCTTCTAGATGGCTTTCATGCCTAAAGTAAGACTAGAACTCACTTAAACCACTACATCAAACTGGTTCTCCAGTTTTCTACATACATATGTTTAAAGAAGTGGTTTTTCCCCTTGACTCATATCTCACTCTTATGCAAGTGAATACAGTGAATAAAATTCTTGATGTGATACCAGTTGAGGAATGTGTATACAGCCATAGTTAACAATCCTTAGGGGTATGTGAATGTGAATCAGTTTGAAATAATCTGGTCAGTGAGCATTATAAAGAAGTCAACTGTATATCTTCTATCTACAGAATAAAATTAAAATATATTATTTTGCTCTTTTAAATCTCTTTAAACCATTTGCTTTTATTGAGTCTTCATACTAGCAAACATGATTACTGTTAAAGAAAAAAAACAATCCAAAGAAAGTGGCTTGGGGTGTAAAGTGATAAAATAAACTTCTCTCCTGGGTTGCATAAACATAAGCAAATCCTGGATTTTTGGAGCTCCGTGTGCTGTTCTGGAAAAGACAGGAGGAATTTTATTGAAACTGCAACTAAGGCTATCATGGTTTTCTTTAATTTCTAAGTATAAGAATTGCCCTATTTTTTAACTTGCTTTCTCAACTCTGTTACTTCAAACAGTCAGACACATAGCAAGTGAAATATTTTCTTTCACTTTTCTGTTTGCTAGGAAAGGTTTTACAGTAAGTGAAGACATTACATAAAAGAAAGACCTGAATACAACCTCTGAATCATGTTTTCCTAAATAGCCACATCGTGTCTGCCTCTTGTTAAAGGAATAAAAAAAAAATGCAGTGCATTTTTCTTTTG